TGTGAACTTACCTCAGGGGGGATTCCAAAATGTCTTGTACTTATGTTTTCAACAACAGCCTAGCTCTCTGGGAAAGCCCAAGCTTCAGGTGGTGTTGGAAAGGCAACACTGATCCAATATTAGGTTAATTCCTAATGTTAATGAATTGTGAAGAAAAATCACCACTATGAAGCAATTATCAGAAGGAAAAAAGAAAAAGAATAAAAGAAGACCATAAAACTGGAAGAGAAATACACTTCAACAAGCCCATAATAGTGTCCTGAACATTAATGCAATTTTTGTTCAGCAGTAAGAGATTCAACAAGGACAGAAAAACGATAATAGGCTATTCTTATAAGTCAGAATTCTCTTCCATCATCCTAGCATTCAACAGCCTATTCACACAATTGTAAAGTGCCAAGGTCTTCTCCAGTTGTGGAATAGTGAAATTAGAGTAATTCCCAATTTTGTTACTAAAATCTTTAACCCAACTATTCTTTCATTTTTCTTTTAATCAGAATTCAAACTTCAAAATGGAAGTAGTGAAGAAGTTAGCGGTCCGCAGAACTGCAAAAAGAAAAGAATAGGAAGGTGAGATAATAGGATTACAGAATATTCTTCTTTATACCATTTAAGGGCGAACTGAAAGATTGCTAATCACCTTTTATAGTGATGATCTTTATTCTCAAAGCATTTCACCAGCTTAAGACATGTCCTATTAAATGCTTTTCCTCCTGAAACCTTCCTCCTAACACAAACACACACACACAAACACACACACACACACACACACACACAAAGCATGCTTGTAGCAACATAAATTACTATTCCATGAGATTTCAGGAACTTCCAAATGGTTTAGACAACATGAATCCAAAACAATGTCAAGTCAAAACAATTATTTTACAACTTGATTTGATATTTCATACGTGCAAGCAATACAATTGCAAAACATAATTCAGCAGGAAGTTTTACAGTAAATATTTTATAAGAATAAACAAAAATCAGAAAGAAACCAAATTCACTTTTAAATACAAAAACAAATGGATAAACCATTCCGAGAAACTGAATTATCACAAAACACTTCTAGATTTAAGGTAAAAGGGAAGCCATGGAACAACCTTTTCTTGGAACAGCGTTTGAGAGTTTCAAATGGTACAACAAACAATTCCTAATGGAAGCACCCAAAAGAAAAATATAGGAGGAATTCCCAACGGCCAGGAATTTCAGACATGTTTTTAAGAATTTAGGAGCAAAAAACGAGACAAGAAAAATATATTCCAAATAATAAATTATTATCGCCAGATTCCTCCAAAGAATCCCAAGATCAGACCAATTTTACTTTCATGGATCAGAGAATAGATCAATTCATTGAATAGTGCTGCACAGCAGGAACCTAAATATTTTACCTTCCAGGATTCATGGTCCTTTAATTATCAATAACTAGGACGCCAATTTCTAGAACTAGAAATATCGTGTTTCTCTTTTATTTGCTGTATACAACAGTATTCCATAATTCTTTTCTGCTTCGATTATTTCCTATAAAAATCGTACTCCAAAATTCAGCAAAAGTTACGCCGGGATTCACCAGAACAGAATTCTTCTGCCCCTTCGGTTCAAAAACTTCTAGCAACATAAGAAATCTCCAATCAACAATTACAAGTAATCGAGATCGTAACTTCATCACAGTTCAAGAAATAGTAGTACTACGAAGGAATACGCAGGTGAACAGCATTGAACAGAACCAAATAAGAAATTACACATAGATAAATTCGGCGGTTACCATGTGGAGAGACCACTTTTCTTCATGAAGTTGTGAGTGCCAGAAAGCCTTGATCTTCTCCACTGAAATCACTGAATTCGCCATTGAAGCAATGCAACGAAGAAGCCGATTTTAGGGCTTTGCACCTTTTTTTGGTGGAGGGGGGGGGGGGGGGGGGGTTGGGGAGTGTTCAAAAAGAAGAAAAAAAAGGTCAAATTGGAAATCAATAACCTTTTTTTTTTTCATAAAATTCAAAATAAGTATAGACACAGAAGTGAATAAGTACAGGATGAGTAACAATTTTTTTCTTTTTTTCATAATTTTATTGATTGCTTCACCTATTTATAATAATATAAAATAATTCTTTAAATTGTACTGTATAAATAAGAAAATATACATTTATATATAAAAAAGATATTAATTGACACAAGGTGTAAGTGTAAAAAATTTATACCACATCTTGTATCGTCAATTTAATTAAAATCAACGGTGTAGATTAATTACAACTGTCTTCCATTAACTTCCAACAATTAATTTACATTTAAATCAGTTATAATTGCTGCAAGTTAATGGAAAACAGCTGTAATTAATCTACATCGTTGTATAAAATGTGGTGTAAGTCTTTACACTTACACCTGGTGTCAATTGATCATTTTTCTTATATATATATATATATATATAAAGAAAAGATATATATATATAAATAAATAAAATATAACTTTATAAATTTCTAAATAAACAATATATATTCATTAAATTTTTTAATATTTATAACACTTCTCTTTGGATGCTTATTAATTAAACAACCGTATCTTATTAAAATCTCACTAGGAAAAATCCAGAGAGACAAAAATCTAGTAAAGCAAAAGTGTACACAATGTTTATAATACACCTTTGTATGCTATTTTATTAAAAACCTTGCTAGAAAAACTTATTGGAACAAAAACATGGTCAAGAAAGAAAGAGTACAATGTATACCTTTACTTTCCCTCGTAAATATTATTTGACATCCTTAACACAATGCATCCCAATCTTTATACATTAGTTTCTTAAAAGTTGTTGTTACCTTTGTAAACAAATTTACTAAATTAGCACGTAGCGAATTTATTGAACGACAACATAACCATTTTGTTGAAGATTATGAGTGAAGAAGAATTTCGGTAAGCTATGCTTTATTTGATCTCATTTGATGTAATTTCCCTTTAATTAAGTTATACATGTTGCAATATCTTCATATGGTATTGTTGGAAAATTTTCTTCTAATATTGAACTACACATTTTTTGGATATACTGGGTCAATGGTATTAGCCAATCGTATTCTCTACTTGTTTTATGTATTGCAATTAATATTGCGTGATTTGAAGAAGTAGTGGTTAAAATTTATTTTGTTGAATACCATGATATTGTAGTATCTCCACATATGAATAAATAACCCGTTTGAGATCGAATTTTATGTGAATCAAATAAATATTTAACATTTATATGACCAATTAATTGTGATTTGGATTTATTTGGATAAAATAACTCCATCTTAACAATCTCTTGGAAGTGTCTAAATATATGCTTAACACTATTTTAATGTTTTCGTGACGGGGAAAGCTAAACCTTGTTAGCAAATTTATAACTAAATCTTGTTAGCAAATTTATAACAAATCTATATCATCATATATTATTAACAAGATACATTAATACCCCTATGACACTAAGATATGGTACTTCAAGATCTATAAGTTTTTATCTTCTCTCAATGATGAAATGGATCTTTCTTCACGTCAAGTAATCTTACAACTATTGGAATGCTAAATGAATGTGCTTTATCCATATGAAGTCCTTTTAAAACTTTATCTATATAAGTTGATTGATGAATAAAAATACAATTCGTTAATTATTCAATTTGTAGGCCAATACAAAATTTTGTTTTTTCTAAATCTTTCATCTAAATTTCTTTCTTTAAACAATTTATTGCCTTTTGAAATTCTTCAGGAGTTCCAATAATATTTATATCATTAACATATATAGTAATTATTACAAATTCTAATCTAATTTTTTTAATAAAAATACACAGTCAAATTGGATCATTTTTATAAACCTTATTTAAAAGATACTCACTAAAATGATTACACCACGTTTGCTTAGATTGCTTTAATTTGTATAAGGATTTATGTAATTTGATTAAATAATTGTTTCATAAGTTTTTACATGTTTTAGACATCTTTAATCTTTCGAGGATTTTCGTATAAATCTCTATGTGAAGTGAGTCATATAAATAAGTTATAACATCGTCTATTGGACGCATTTCTAACTTTTCAAGAACTGGTAGGTTGATAAGATATTTAAAGATGATTGCATATATTATAAAAAAGTAGATCTTTTCATAATCAATACTGGATTTTGTGAAAATTCTGGTGCAATAGAATGTGTTTTATATCAATGAATTTCATTTTTCTCATTTCATATGTGCATAAATTACCATTTATACCCCTCTAGCTTAACACATTTAGATGTTTGTACTACAAGCTCAAAATTTCATATTTTGAGAGAAATTAATGGGACCTCAAAAAAGATTGAGAATATATATCACATATGAATCCCTTTTTATCATTAAATATATTGAACCAGGAATTTATTTATGGCATGATATGTTGATTGTCATTTTGATAAAATGGTTTTCTCATGAGAGAGGGAGAGAGGATGAGCAACTAAAAAGAAAGATCTTATTATGGGAAATGATAATGCATAAGATTAAACTGGATCGTATTCTTGGGAAATTATTGACACGGGAGATTAAACTAATTAATCTGGTGCTTTGCTTTGTCAAAGGAAACAACCTCGGATTTGACTCTTTTAGTGCAGCTTTTATGCTTGAGCCACTTGGTGAAATCGAATTTTCAGTGTTCGTGCTTATTTTTGACTAATGCTCTGTTGAGCTGTTGTAACGAAGAGGGCCAGCTTAAAAACCTATCCACTTGCACTTTCATGCATAGAACATTTACACAGCTTTCCCTCTCTATACTTGAAAAAACCAGCCATTGCAAATGAGCAGCTTCTGTGAACCTGTCTGTCGGGCCAAAATTTTTGCAAATTGTTCAAGCATTTTGAAGAAAAAGATGATAGAGATGGAGCAAGAAGAAAATGGGAGGGAAAATAAGGAGTTCTGAAATTGAATGGTATGTACATATGATTATTATTTATTTGCCAATGTTGATAATAAAGCAGGACTAAACTGCAGTAGAACATGGAAATCCACATTTGTCAAGTTTCATTTCATTTTAATTTCTGCAAGTTGGATACAAAATTTGAAGCAGCAAAGCAGCAGATCCTCCGCCACACAAACAAGTGCAACCACAACTTGCAAAGCCACTTCCCAAGGGTACTCCTCAGGAACCAGATACACACAAGTGGGGCCCAACACCAGCAGGCCAAGCTCAGGCTGAAGAGGGTAGCCGGAGTCCCAGGGTCGGTGGCGGCCGAGAGCACGCCCAGCTCCTCGGCCTTGGAGAGAGACCCCGCTTCTCAATTGTGACAAGGAGAATCCCAGCTTTTCTGCTAAAGATAGCAACCCAGCTTTCTCTGCTTTAGTCAGAAGTCTCAGCTGCTCCACCCTCGTCAGCAGCTTCACCGATGGCGACGCGGAGTTGCTGTTCCTCGGGCCTCGCTCCCCCAATGGGAAAACTGGGGCACTCTGCATTAGTTATAATCAATAAAATTAACTATTATGTTTGAAACAAAGAAAATCAAAGTTAAAAAAATCAATCTTTTAACTACCAGTTGTTGAGAACAAGCAAGCAACAACAAAACATTTCTTCTTTTACCCAAAGGAATCGTGTGAATGATCACAAGTTAAATCCTCACCCACTCAAATACAATCTCACTAAACTCACAAGCACTTAATCAAAGCTCAGAAATTCTCTCACAAGCACACAACAGATGCTTCCCATTCTGTGTGTGCGTGTGCGTGTGCGTGTGTTTCATTTATATTTGCACAACTAAGACCCAAGTCCGTTCTTCACCTCTAACGGCTTCCTCAAGCTTCAAATTAAGCCAGCAATAAGCCACGTCTACTGCACTTGAGATGGTGAGATCCTTCTAGATGGAGAAGAAAGGATAGAAATATCTATGAAGGGAGAGAGGCAGCGTTGTATTCCTCTTACACAAAAAATAGACGATGCTTGGAGTGCAAAGATGAGGAGAACCGCAGTCCGAGGCCATTATATGAGAAATCAGAGCCTTGAGTGCTTGTGGCAGGCAGAATTAACAGAAAAGCAAACACTCGATTTTAAACTTTGGGGGTTAAAAAAAAAGAACCAAGAATGAGGAAAAATCAGAATGAAAGAAAATGTAAATTAAAAAATCAACAGACAAGAGACTGACTGACCTTGCCAGAGCTAACAGTTCTAGTGGCAGATGGAAGAGGCTTTTGGGTAGCCATGGATTTAATGAGAAGAGTTGGGAGGTAGCTGGATCGCTCTCTTCTTCCTTTGTTTACTCCTTGCTTTGGAGAGGAAGGGATGAGAAGCCCCCCTTTGCTGCTGCTACAGCACCACCCCATGCCTTCTATCTCTCTTTCTCTCTCTTTCTCTCTCTATTGATTTGCCTTCCTTTCCTATTGGATATTTTTCTTTTCTTTTTCAGATCAATTATTCTGGAACTGAGGAAATGGTATCAATATCAGCCTCATCACTGAGTGATGGACGAAGAGGCTAGCGGATTGAATTTTAGTGGCAGGTTGTCAACGTGTCATCACATAATTGGTTGGTTACTTGCTCTCTTCTTTTGTACAGGAGCCACTTTGGACATGTTTGGCTATACTTGGAATTGCCTCTACTATCAGAACGAATCCTCCTCTTGATTTTTTAAATAAAACTCAATAATTTATTTTTCCCCGTGGTAGTTGATGATAAAAAATATTTAAAAATTAAGTTAAAAACTCAATAAAATTAAGTGTAATCAAATACTATTTTTTTTTTTTTTGAATTCTGGGAAATGCTCAGAGTTGTAAGTGGCATGGTATCGTAAATATATTTTTTATTATTATTTGTTTATTTTAAAATTTAAATTATATATATAGTTAGGAATTTAGTTAAAATTTTTAAGAAATAATTTTTGTTGAGAATCTAATTTTTATCTCTTTTATATTATTTTGAATTATTTATTTTTTCTAATATTTAATTAAAACATGTTATAAAGAGAGAGAAAAAGGGTTAAAAATATATTTTTCAAAATTTTTCCTATACTTGCATATAATTTTTTAAGTTAATTAAACAAAAACAAAAATATCTGAAGACTCAAATTCCTTTTTTTTCTTGTGGCTAGAAATGACTAAAAATTTATAATTAATTTGCGAAATCAACCTGACAGTAAAAAGAGGAAAATGAGTGGTCCATGTTGACATTTGGTTTGACTTAAAAGCCTTGGCTGGCTCCCGTGACCTTCAAATTCGAAACAAGTCGAGTGGCTGATCCAAGAGTAGAGGTGAGCCGTTGACGATTTTTTTCACTTTTGGCTAGTTAAGTTCTATTTCTGATTTGGGAGTTTTATTTGAATTATTTATTAGCCGAGTTATAAGCACAGTGGTTGGTCCGTCAATTCAATCTGAGTTTTAAAATCTTGGTCAGCAACGCATTTGGAAGATGGTCAATAGTGCAACGCTTCGCACTTTGGGCCTCAAGTCTTTTTATTAAATTCAATCTAATTTCTGAACTACCGTATCTTGAATTCAATATCTAAAAGTTCTGATTTCTTTATTTAATTTCTCACTGAAAACCCTACAGTTCTACTTTTTTTTTAATAGTCCTGCAATTCTTTACACATTAAAGATTAGATAAAAATGCCCAAATTAAGGTGTTCCCCACAACAGCACATTACTGGAATCTTCACATGGCCTTATTTATACTCCCAAGTGGACACCCCTACAGTACACATAGGAAGAGAGAGATGCATCACCTACCCCTCCTTTCCCCCTTTTTAAAAATTAAAATTTTTAAAAAAATAAATTAGAGGTGTTCAAAATGTTGGAAAATCGACTGGCTGATAAAGTAATATCGCAACTAATAAAATGAGATAAAATAACAAAACAGGAATACAAAGATTTGCGTGGAAAATCCCTCAAATAAATTTAGGATAAAAACTATGAGTAAGAATAGAAGAATTTCATTATGAAGAAAAATAGGAGTTACAACCTCTCTCTATTCAAGGAGATAAATAATACTAATCTCTCTTAAAATAGAAGAAAAACAACACTCTCTAAATCTCATACTATAGAGAATAACAATTAAATCTCTATGAATGAAATGAATTGGGATAGTTTAAGGGGTGCTTGGGTGAGGCCTATTTATAGCCTTGTACCCTTCTCCATTTTCAATAAAAGTGGGCAATGTGGCTGTCTCTGTTTTTTTTTTAAATAACTAGCTGTTACTAGTTTTTCTTCTTTTTCAAAATATTACGGTGCTTAGTCAATAATGGAGGGTTGCAGCTGCATGTGCAGTCGCATCCCTCCCCCCTTTTCTTTCTTTTGCTTTGATATTATATGAGGCTGGACCTTACAATCTCCCACTTGAAGATTTGATTGAACATCAATCATATTTTCACATTATTCTTTCGATCTTGTCATGTCTATGTTGCTTACATCTCTGTCAGGCCACAAAGCATCGACATCAAATAAACTTGCTTGTGTTGACTGCTTTTATCATAAAATCTGCTAGGTTGTCTTTTGTATAAATTTTTTACATATCCACAATTCTTTCTTCCACTTTCTCACGAGTGAAGTGATACTGAACTTGTATGTATTTTGTCTTTGAATAAAGGCTGGATTCCTGGCAAGATACAAAGCACTCTGACCATCACAAAATAGAAAAATCTTCTCTTGTTTGTGCCCGAATTCCTCCAACACAAACTTCAACCATATTACTTCTTTACTGGCTTGTGTAGTTGCTACATATTCTACTTCAGTTGTTGATGTAGCTACAAGTGATTGTAGTTTTGAAACCTAGCTTACAGCCCCACCAGCAAGTGCAAACACATAACTTGTAGTGGACTTACTTTTATCCAGATCACTTGCATAATCTGAGTCAACATACCATTTGATTGCAGAGTCTGATCCTCCATAATATAATGCAACATTAGAGATTCCCTTAATGTATCTTGGGATCCTCTTTACAACATTCTAATGCTCTCTATCAGGATTCGCCATGTACTGGCTAACCACTCCTACTGTATATGTAATGTCTAGCCTTGTACAAATCATAGCAAACATCAGACTTTCCACTGTTGATGCATACGGTACTCGAGACATTTCCACCATCTCTTCTTCACAGGTAGGACACATATCGGAGGATATTTGAAATTAATAGGAAGTGGGGTAGAAATTAACTTACAATCTTGCATGTTGAAGCACCGTAAGACCTTCTTCAAGTAATTTTTCTGAGAAAGTCAAATCTTCCTATTTTTTCTGTCTCGGTGAATTTGCATCCCTAGAATTTTATTTGCTAGTCCCAAATCCTTCATTTCAAATTCTCTAGCCAATTGAGCCTTCAATTCTTTGATATGATCTTTACTAGGGCTTGCTACTGATATGTCATCTATATACAGTAATAAGATAACAAAATCATTCTCATCAAACCTCTTGAAATATGAACAAGGGTTTGCATTAAGTCTGCTATATCCAAGGCTCATAATGAAGGAATCAAATCTTTTGTACTAATACTTTGGCGCCTGTTTTAGACCATACAGAGATTTGTTTAATCTGTAAACCAAGTTCTCTCTTTCTTTTTCTTCAAAACCTTTTGGTTTGAGCATGTAGATCTCTTCTTCAGGATCTTCATGAAGAAAAGCTGTTTTCACATCTAGCTACACTAGATGTGAGTCGAGCACAACATACATTGCTAGCATTACTTGTATTGTAGTAAGCCGAACCATAGGAGAAAATATTTCATTGAAGTCAATTCCCTCTTCTGAGCATAGCCTTTCACCGCAAATTTAGCACAATACCACTCCAGTTTATCATCACTGCTTTTCTTAATTTTATAGACCCATTTATTACAAATGACCTTTTTTCCTTTCGATAGTGGCACAAGTTCTCAAGTTTTATTATTATGTAGGGCTTTAATTTCTTCTTGTATTGTTACTATTCACTTGTTGTCTCAAGGGCAACCCAAGAGGGGGGTGAATTGGGTTTTTATTGCAGAAGCCAAGAGTGTGAAAAATTAAAACCAATAATAAAAATATTGAATTAAATAAACTTATACAATTCACCTAACAATAAATATAAAACAATTTTAAGTAAAGTAAAAAGAGTAGGAATAGGAGATGCAAACTCTTTTATAGTGGTTCAACTTGTTACCAAAGTCTACATCCATTCTCTCGAGCTTCAACCGGCCAAGTTCCACTAAGCTTCTTACACTTGACGGAGGCAAGAAATCTTGAGTACAAAGAAAGTTCCTTGCACTTGACAGGGGCAAAAAATCTCGATTACAAAACCTTTGATTCGGTGACCTTCAAACAGTAATACAAATAGTAATGAAGATGAAGTAGAAATGTAATAATTTCTCTTAAGTAGGATTAGCTACCACTCATGTACAAAAATAATCTCACTTCAAAGAGACAATTTCAAGAATAAAACAATTTGCTTTATGAACTCTTTGATCTAATAATAAATAATGTAGTACAAAAAATTTTAGAGAGAGATTGAGAAGGTTTTGAGAACTTGTTCTTGTATACTTCTCCCTTCAATCTATGCTCCTTTTATAGGCAAAAATATCAAAGAGAAGTTAGAGAGCGTTGGCCTTTGTGGAAGACAAAATTATTTGTTAATAGTAACTACACATTGGCTTATTTTAAAAATTCAAGTAAAATGACTTCGAACATTCATAACATCTTAAATAATTCTTGAATACTCTTCACTGAATATATTTTCAAATGTAAAAAGAATCATTGAATTATCGTGCTTCGTTTGAGAGAAATGATCAAAAGTTCAACAACATGTCAGACTATAAAATTGCTTTTGACAAAATTGTTGGTCAAGTTCAAAATTGTCTAGAAATTTGAATTTACATTAAAAAATAACAAATTATATATTATTCAAAAGCTTATAACGTCTAATTTCATTTAAAATTATATTTGTGCAAATTTTACTTTTATATTTTGAGATATGATAAAAATGTTATAATATACTCATTTTGTTTGCTGACAATGTAACTCAGTAGAATGGCCCAATTTGAAATATTATACCTATCAATTTATAAGTGTAAAATGTGCATATAATATATGTATTTAAAGCTTAGTATGTCTATTTTACAAATAAAATTAAGTCAGAATTTTATGTATGTCATAAGTTATATTTTACTAATTAAAAATAATATCGTGCATATTTCAGAAATGACTTTTTTTAGAAAATAATATACGAGATTGATATAATAAACTGTTTTAATATGAAATAGTATATAAGATAAATTATACATCAAAATAAAGATATTTGAGTATAATTTTACATAAATTAACTTTATTATTTTTTGATTTTTCTATAATAAGATATAATCAATTTACTATACATAT